TGTGAGGAGGGCTCCTGGGGAGCAGGCAGATGGCATGGTGTGCTGCCGGAGTTCTGGGTGACCTTCTACGCTGCGAATCTGATTCTAAATTTGGATTTTAATCCATCAGTACTTGGATGTAAAATTATTTTCAAGTGTCTTGCCTTTTTTAATGCTCGTACTCTGGTTCTTTCCCTTTTATGCTGCTAAACTTCATATTTTCTTCAGCAGTCAAATGAATTCAGGTTGCATAAACAGCACTTGTTCTTCCCTGGGCTGTGCAGCATGCCTAAATAATGCCTTGCTACATGGGACTGCTATATAAGCAATTAGAAAAATGCAAATGGATTGGTGAGGAATATACGTTAGCTCAAGGCATGCTGCTTTGAAAAGCTGAAGAGAATCCCTGGAAAGAATGCTTAAAGGGTTTGGGGAATTTATCTCCATTAGTTTGTCATTTAACTCTGGGTTCTTCCTGGTTTGACAGACACTGCTGCCGTAAGATCGGATCAGCTGCTGCCCTGCAGCGTGCTGCCTGGTAGCAGAACAGGCTGGCTTTGTTTAAAAGCTGAGAATTTTGCCACGCTATCCTGACAGCCTCTTGAGGGCTTTAATCAGGCCCTTTTGATCACGCTTGCAGAACAGAAAATTTCCCCAGACTCGCCTGTAACAAACTCCCATTGATTTAAGAGATGAGCGGTGTGGTCCATGTGGGCTTGTATGGGACGGTGTGGTTTAACCCATTAAATTCTGGGAAGATGGCTTCATTAATCGATGGGGTGTTTTGTTAAAGTAGGACTTTTTTTTTTTGTGGATGAGATCTGGGAGAGAGAAAGCTGCCTTTATTGTCTGATTGGTGTGAATAGGTGTTTTTTGTTAATTTGAGCAAAAACTATGAGGAGAATAAGTACTAAGTTCTCTCTGAGGGTTGTGCAGAGCAGGAAAGAGGAACTGCATCCCAAGATCAGTCATCCTTGGACCCTGATGTGGGTGATGATACAGAAGCACATTTCTGGGGAAAATAGTAAAAAAAAAAAAAAAGATAACAAATTAGCCTTTCCTGTAAGTGACTGATCTGATGCTGTTAGCCCAGTTCTGGAGATGGCTTGAGCAAAGCTGCTGCTCAGCTGAGCCATCCCTGCGGGGTGATCCCTGCATGGGTGTCCTGCAAGGCACAGGCAGCGGGACACGGGGACTTTGTCCCCTCTGCACTGCCTGCTCTCAGCCCTGGCACACTGCTGTGCTTCATCGCCGGGGGGGGGAAAGTGTCACGCTACGTGTGTTTTGAGAGTAAACTCAGTGCAAATAATCCTGCTTACTGAACGAGATTGTGTGCTTCCAACACCAGCTGGCTCAGGACAGCAGTTGCCTTATGGACTTTATTTTATTGGCCTGATGTCAGGCGCTAGCACTCAGTAAATGCTAACGAGGCTCTGGTGGCCAGATAAGATAGCTGTGCTGCTGGCCGGGGGGGTCCGGTCTGCTCCATGGCGTCAGTGTCCACTGGGCTGGGGAGGGGGCTGCTGGAGGCTGGTCCCCTCGGAGGAGAGGAGGGAGCTGCGTGGTAACCTTGAGGAAAAGAATTGGAAAACTCTATTTTAAGAACTTGTTGTGTAATTGTGTGGCTGCAGGTCACTGGTTGATGGCTTGGCAGAAGGAGACACCAGGCTGTGGGGTGTTGGTCCAGCGCTGCTGGTTTCCCACCATTATCCTCAGTGTGGGGGTGATGCTCACAGCGCCCTGACTGACCCTCCTGGGGTGACGGAAGGGCTGTTAACTGGGGTTCCTCTCTTTAAAATTCTCCTTTTCCTGCTGGAATAATACAGAAGGACTGAGACAGGTGCCGATATTAGACCTCTCATTTTTTGAAGCACAGTGCTATGGGGAGGATGTACAAAGGTGCCTCAAATGAGACTTGTCCTGAGAGGATTAGGGAGAATAATATGCTTTTTAGAAAAGGGGGAAAAAATACATTCTGGCTTCCTACTGGAGCAGATTCCTGCAGGAGGCACGCTGTGCCGGCACGCTGCACGGGGAGAAGAGGCTCTCTGCTCCCCAGAGCCTGGAGCTGCTTACCAGGGGCATGCGATCTGCAACCCTCCACCTGCCCGGCTGTTACGATGCTGTTAGCTGGGCATGGCTTTTGTTTCTATTAGTGTTTTCTGTTTATAAATATTCTTATGCATCGCCTTTTTTTTTTTTTTTTGAGAGAAACAAAGAAGCAGCTGCTTATTTTTGTGGAAGGGTTAAATGCAGAACATTGTTCTCTCCTAGCTGTGTTTAATTTTGGGAGAGCACTAACAATGACGTGCATTTACGCTGCGTTCCCGGAGCAGCCGCCGTGCTGTGCGTGCACGGTCGCCTCGGGCAGAGAACACGCCGATGTGCTTCTATGGGCATAAAACACCAGTGCCATGACCCCCCCAGCACGCTGACTGGTCCTGCACGTATTTCGTGCTTGTCCTGCGGAAGGTGCAGGAGCGACGAGGTGGCGGGTGGTGGGTTATTCCACGTGTAGCACTGTGTGGGATCTGCTCCATCCTCTCCTGGAGAGGCCACCACCAGCCAGCTCCATCTGTGCGTGTTTGGGGGCAGTGGCTTTGCGCAGCTGTGAGTTAGGAGAACTTGGTTTGAAGTATTTTAAACATTAGTCATTAAAAGACAAACTTTGGACCTGAGAGACATTACAGTGCTGATTCCCAGGCTGCTGTGACACCGATGCTGTGTCTCAAACTAATGAGTTCTTGGAGTGCAACTCCATTCCGAGCCCTCGGCCACCTCCACGGCTAGCATAAAACGCTAATAAGGAGATTCTGCCAAAATAATATGAGATAAACCAGAATCTAAAAATAGGAAACGGCTAAGAGCCCCGTTTATGAGCAGCTTATTCTCTGAGGAAGCTACAATCTGGTTAAGATCAGCACAGGGAGGATAATCCAGCAGACATCTAGACAGCCTGGAATAGACAAGAACAAAATACAGCTGCCCCGGGTCAAACTGGAGGTCTCTCGGTCCAAAAGCCTGCTGGCAGCCGGGGCTGCGGGGCGGACACCGAGGGAGGCGGATAACAGCAGGCAAGTGTACGGAGATGCTTCCTCGGAGGAGCTGGTTGAGCTCCTGGTTGGCTTTGTGATGGGTCTGGCAGGTTCTGTGGCTGCAGCAGGAGCCCGATGCTCTGCGGGTGCCAGGGCTTCTCACACCGGTTCAAAAAACCAGCAGGGTGCATGCATGCCAGGGGAAAAATAAACCTCTCCCGGGTTGAAATGTCCTGTGTCAGAGCTCCACAGCTATTGTGTGCTGTGTGTTCAGAAATACCTGCTGCTGTTTGCTCTGAGCTGAGTCACAGGGGAGCCCAGAACAGGGGGGAAGGAGGCCAGGCAGGATTTTTTAGAGCAAAATAGCCCGGCTGAAGCTATTGAAGGGCAAATGGCAAATGCTGATTTACTCTGACAACCCAACAAAGGGCTTAATTCGGGCTGCCAGTTCCACTTAAATGCAAAAAGTGGTTGGAGCTCCTCAGACACCTTCAGGTTCATGTTCCAGGGGTATCGTGGCTGTAGTCACACAGGGACCGGTGCAGCAGGTCCGTACACCGGGTGCTGGTTGTTTGGCCTCAGTCCCATGAGCAGCCCCAGTGCGACCCACAACGGGCTTTGGTGTTCAGGTTAAACCCTCTTCCAACTCCCAGAGAGAGTAGAACTGGAAAAAACAGATCAAGATGGAAAGAGGGAGGTGTGTGTGCCTCCCTTCCTGCCTGTTTGATGCTGGACCACGGTGGTCGGGGGGTTATAGGGTCTGTGGGGTGATGGCTGGGCACTTGGTCTCAAGGTCTCTGAAAGACCATATGTGTTCTTGTTAGCACCTGGTTGCCCCCACTCACCGATATAAGCTACATTGGAGGGGAGATTGTAGAATCACAGACTGGTTTGGGTCAGAAGGGATCTTAAAGCCTGTCCAGTGCCACCCTGTGCCATGGGCAGGGACACCTCCCACCAGCCCAGGTTGCCCAAAGCCTCATCCAGCCTGGCCTTGAACCCCTCCAGGGGGATGGAGGACAGAGCAGGGATCCTGTTTCTTGGATATTTCAAGCAGGGTGGGATGGAGCAGAGACCCATCACCTGGGATGGGGGATTATACCCAAGTAAATTGAGACTAAACAGAGTCCAAGCACCATTGCACTCTAGCAAGATGTGAATAACCAAAAGTCAGGCACTCTGTACTTTCTCACTTGATAAACCATGTGGTTGGGTAGCAGAGAGTTAGCAGATGCTCTGAATGACAGAAGAGGAAATTGGAGGGCAAGCACATAGCTATTAAGAGTTTAAACAGACACATTTACCTGTCCTGCCTGTGCCTTGCATCATTTGTTATTATTGCAAAAATTAAAAACATATTTGGGCTGATGTAAAAGAAATTGTAATTTCTTGAGAAACGCTTTTATGGGCTGCAGGATTGGTCTGATGGCTGACCACAAACAGTACCTGGACCTGTCATTAGTTCCTCAGGAAAGAAGTTATGAGTTTTGTAAGGTTCTGGCATTCCTACAAAACCAGAAGGAAAGAGTTGTGGAGACTTAACGAGCTGCATGATATTCCATGCAGGGCTAGAAAGAGATGAATTGTTTGAATGACGGTCAGGAAAAACTGATGTCAAATGTAACCTCTCCGCAGGAAGCGATTAGGGTGACCGTGCTCAGCTTCTAGTTATGCAGCTGGCCAAAGAGGAGGGTTGTGTGTGCTCTTTGGGGATTGACTCTCACAGCAGGATTTGAGTCCTGCAATCCAAAGGAGTCTAAAGCATCCCTCTTGAAAGAGGGTGTTGCATCAGTTTAACCAAGAGATAAATCTGAAGAGAGGACTTGGTCACACACTGACAGAAGTGCATTAACTGTTGCTGTGTGGCCCTCGGAGAACTGGCACTGACCTGAGATATCCCCTTTTATCTGCTGCTTATTCCACAAAACTGGACTTTTGTAAACCCAAGCATTCTTTTAAGTAACCCTTTTATTTTTCCCTGCCCAGATTAACCCTGGCAGCAAAGCAGCCATGGCCGACCTGTGCCCAGGAGATATTATTCTGGCAATTAATGGAGAGAGCACGGAGAACATGACACACCTAGAAGCGCAAAACAAGATCAAAGCATGCATGGACCAGCTGCTGCTCTCCGTGAACAGGTAGGTGCTCTTGTGTTTGATGTGATGTTGTGGATGCCCCATCCCTGGAGGGGTTCAAGGCCAGGCTGGATGAGGCTTTGGGCAACCTGGGCTGGTGGGAGGTGTCGCTGCCCATGGCAGGGGGTGGGACTGGGTGGACTTTAAGGTCCTTTCCAACGCAAACCAGTCTGGGATTCTATGTTTCTATATGCCTTGGTCACCTTGGCTCGTCTCTTCTGCAGAAGGCTTGTGTCTGGCCCTGGGGCAGATCTGCCCTTAGGTTCAGTTCTTGGTGCATCCCCATGGTCCATGGAATTGTTCTGCATTTTTAAAACCAGTGAGACAGTGAAAAAGATACTGATACAATAAATGGGTCCAGTTCATTTATATAAGTCTGGATTCTTGCTTGCACCTCGCGAGGCTATTGCGGGCTGTGAGCTGGGTCAGATCCTTCATGACAATGGAGGTTTTATTGACTCTGGCAGGAGTAGCCCAGGGACCAAAATCTCCTTTGGTTGAAGCCTCCCACATCATTAACATCCACGTATCATTTTCCTAAATGTCTGTTCAATTAATATATTTTAGAAAGTCCCACCAAATACACTTTTTAAAGAATATTTCAAAACAAAATGAAGGCTTGGGGTTGCTTTATTTGCTTTCCATTGGAATTAGTTCTGTAGCTGAAGGTTCCTAATACAAATCATAGATTATCCCTTTAAAATGAATGCTCCTTATAAGGCTCACAAGTGACTAATGTTATCTGTAAGAGATTTAAATAAGTTTATACAATTTTCCACTTCAGATTAAAAAGGCATTTCCTGCTATAAAGAGCTATCATTTACTGTTTATACTTCTCTTGGAAAACACATCATTTCTGACTAGAAGCCTGGACAGCAGCAAAGGAGTGGTGCCGTAAATGGAGCAAAGCCTCGTTGGCTCCTCGTGGTTCATCAGACAGTGATGTCCAGGCTGCCTGGCTGGAGCGGAGTCCCCTGAGCTCAACCTGTGCTGTAGGGATGATGTGGCTTCAGCAGTAGGAAAGAAGGGAAAAAGAAAAACAAGAAAACACTTTGTGCAGGTAGAGTTTCCCATCACCAAGGTGGACAGTCATTTTCCTGTCCCGTAGGAGCAGTTTCAGGGAGACTGGACAAAAGCTCCCTTCCTGGCTTTCTGTGGGCTGCTGGAACTCTCGTTGGAAGAGGTGGAATTCCTCGTGTAGAGACAGAAGGTTTTGGTGAGCTACCAGCTGTTGAGGTGGTTTGGCAGCAGAAGAACTTAATCGGGAGTTAGAATAAAGCTTTGCTGAATGCAGCTTCCACCTGCGGCGTGGCGGCGTTTTATTGTTGTGTATGAGGGTTTCTACTGTGGGGAATTTATGGTCTGAGTTCCCACTTCTACACCTTGTTTTAGCCACCGATACCAATTAGCATTTGTTTGTTGGCTGAGATCGGACCCACTTGAGTTCTCCTCCGTGGGAGGCAGGCGCCGTGTCCTCGTGGGTGGGAAGGGGTGCTTGAATCTTGCTGGTGGCAGCTGGGACCACGCTGGTGGTGGTACCTGCCATGTCAGAGTATCTCCAGGAAAGTGCATCTCCTCTCCTAAGAGGTGGCTTCCTGCATGGACATGGGACAGGGGTTTGGTCACACTGGTGCAGTTCCACTTCATCACAAGAGGAGCAAGCGGAGGTCTTGCAGCAGTGCTGGTGTGTGCCTTGGTGGGGTTAAGGATGATCTGTCTGTGTAGTTTCCCTGAGATGCAGAAATGTTCACTAACGACCTTGTGGTCATCTAGAAGCTGCTGTGGGGAAGACTTCTGGCAGCAGGAGGGTCTGCGGCGTCGGGTTGGGTTTGCCCAACTACACCTGCCAAGGCGGATATCCTCAATGGCGAGACCTCGCAGTGTGTCCAGGGGAGCGGTGGGTTCTCTAGAGCAGGTGTTGCTGGCGATGGCCCGCAGGGTCTGTGGGTGAGGTGGCCTGGGCTGTGCTAGGCAGGGAGGTAGGCAAGAGGATTGCGGTGGTTTTGTCAGGCCTTAAAGTCTACATAAATGCAGATTTTAAAGGCTCTCATAGGCAAAAAAAATGCTCAGGCTTCTGCAAGACAGGAGCAGACAGGAGCTGGTGATGGTGAGGAACGGTTCAACGCGGGGTGGCTCCTCTCGAGGAGGAGGTTGCACTGTTGGGTTGGTTGGGCAGCTCCTTCAAGAGCAAAACACACCTTGGCTGAGCCCAGAGAAGCCCGTGGGAGTGGCTTTTGTTCTGTTTTTCCTATCAAGAGAGTTTATTTTTTCTACAGTAAGGACAGCAGCTCCAGTCATGCTTTATTAGCTCTATTTTTAGTCTGGCCCAAAGTAAGTGCTCAGTGACATGGCTCTTGGATTCTCTCCTGTTTCCCGAGTGACCTTTTGGATCCAGACTACTCTGCCCAGCCGTTGCTCATCGCTGGATGCTGATCTGGTGCTACCTCCTCTGTGTGAGCAGATCCCTGCTCTGGGACCTGCCTCTGGGAGAGCAGGGTGACCCAGTGCTAATGAGGGAACCGCATCCTGGGGTGGTGACGGGGGGGATTTTGGGTCCACATCCACCAACTGCCATCTGTAATAGCTGTGATCACTGCCCTGCACTCTGCCATGAGGCTGAGCTCCAGGAAAGCCCCACAAGCAATGGGTTAGCATCTGTTCCCCCAGGCAGGAGGGTGCTCTCCCAGCAGCATCCTCCCTGGAGGGTGCTCTCCCAGCAGCAAAATAGAGTTTGCGAAGCAACACAAGGGTGGTGGTTGTTTCGTTTGTTTTGTTTTTTTAATAAGTGTGTTTGTCTGAAATATACAGCAGTCGAGCTCGTTACTTCAAATAGATCTTTAGTGAAGGTGTATGAAATTTGACGTTAGTTCTGTTTCACCCCCTCCAGCCGGGTGTGCGTGCCGAGGGACTGCAGGGAGCTGGGCAGCGAGCCTGGCAGCGATGGGCTTCCAGCCTTCTGGTGCCCTCTGGGCTTCTTCCATCCCCTGCCCTTTCTCCATGAACCCTTGACATTATGCGTTACCAACAAAGAACAAGATTGGTTTTGTTTTCAAACCATGGTCAGTAAATGCCCATTGACTGGAAAGTTCAGTAGAAGCAAAAAAATAAAAAAAGTAAAGCAGCACAGTAGCTTTTCTGTTCTGAAATGGAGGAGAGGAAAATCCTCATCAGCTCCCAAAAGGAGTTGATTTCTGTAACCGATGCTCGTGTGGGTACGGATGTAAGGTGCCTGAGCATCCCTGTGACAAGGGATGGGCAGTCAGGTCATAGTTAATGGCTCTGAAATGCAAGGCCAGGGGTTCAAGTGGGCTTGGTAAGGCTGGAGCAGTGCCTGGCACCTGGGCTGGTGCTGATGGAGATGTAGCAGGATGGTTCGGGGTGCCCTGGTGATAATCAGCCTGTTCCAGCATTGTTTGCCCAGCTGGTGAATCCCAAGCCAAGGGAGCATCTGCAGGGGTGGTGAGGGCAGGGATGCGGCAGCTGGTTGGAGAAGATTCCAGGTGTTAGGCAGCCCTGGGAATTATTATCCACAGAAACGTGGTACGGTGGTGTTGGTACTTAGCCACCAAATGTATGCGTTTGACTGGAGGCCAAGGATTTCAGAGTTTTAAATAATGTAAATGTGTGGATAAGGATGGTGGCATGGTAAAGCTTGTTTGGTTTTGGGTTTTTTTCTGACTGTGGAGTTGTCTCTAAGTCACACAAATGAAGAAATTCCTTATCAGGCAAAAAGGGTGCTTTCTGGCTCCTCCACCCTGGGACTAATGCGTTCGTATTCCTGTGATGAGCAGGGAAGGATTCACATGTGCTGGGAGACTTTTAATTTTTAAATCATTTTTATGCTGTTTTTCCCAGTCCAATCCAATCTTCTTTTCAAATAGCAGCTGTGTAAAGCCCTGCCCAGTTTGGGGGTCTGGGGGCTGTTTTGCCCTGTGCAACCCTGGCAGAGCAAGGGCAGGGGGCTGAGGAGGAAGCAAGCCAGTGTGCATGGGCTGGGGAAACCCAAATGCCTTTACAGATGGCAGTGGTGTGCAGCGCTGCACTAGCAGCACGGATCCGATTTTTTGTCATTCGCTGGAGACTGAGCAACCAAACCCAAGAGCAGAAGTGCAGGGAGTCTCGCAGCCGTGATCCATGCAGGATGGATAACCAGAGCCCCCTTCCCTGGTGATGTGGTGTGCAGAGAACCAACACGCACTGATGCGTCGTTAGGGTTCTGCTGAGTCTGCTCGGAGAATTTGATCATGAAGTTTTTCTGTTTATTTCTGCTCTCAGTACAGAGATGGCAAATTTCTGGAAGCTTCTAAAAGAGAAAGCCCTGCAAATGAGTCTGCTGGATGCGTAGCCCCAAAACTCCCTGGAACGTCCTGCAGCTGATGTTCTTCCGAGCCCCCTCCTGCCTTCCCCAGCTCCTGGAGGCTTTGCCGGGCTCCGTTTGCTGCGAGCGGCGCAGGCACGCTGCTGGGCAACGGGAAGGATGACCATGTACGATGTTCTTGAGTTTCCAGTAAAAGTGCAACTGAAAAAGTGAATCACAGCTTCCCTTGTGGGGCTCCTCGAGGACTCAGAGAGAGGAAAGCCGGCAGCTTTCCAGAGCCTAGATACACAGCAATGGTTTCAGCCAAGAGGAATGAAGGAGGAGAAATTTTGCAGCTTCTCCTCTGGGTACCCTGGGTGAGCTGGGTCCAGCGGGGTGCTCAGCTGAGCTCAGCTCTTGTTCCCCAGCCTGGGCAAAGCCTTATCTACCTGGCACAGCAGGCAAAAGCCCCCCATCAGGCTGTGGGGATGGATCCATCGCCTTCCAGTCATCACGGCCAGGATCATTCCTGGGGAGTTACCAGCTGTAGCTGCTCCTGGGCTCGGTTCAGCTCCTAGAAGGCTAGTGGCCGCACTGGTAATAAAAATCAGTTGTGACCATACTGCTGTGCCATCGTGGGAGATGAACAGGGTTCAGGAGATGGGCAGGAACCTGGAGTCACCCCCCAGAAGGGACTGTACAGACTGGGGTGCAGTACAGGGATGTGGATGTTCTGGGGGGTTTGAGTCGCTGTCACCTGCTCACACCTGCATGGCTGCACAACAGCAGCGTCCTGGCCACAGTCTGGAGCTCTCCCAAGGGCTAAATGTTAGTTTGCGAGGGGATGGAGCAATTAGAAATTTAATAAGACCCGGGAATTCTTGCAATTTAAAAGCAGCTCTACAAATGTGGAGAGCAAGGCTTGCAGATCATTACCAGGTGAAAAAACATTTTGGTAAAATATGGCAGCATATGCGAGTAATCTTTGGAGAATGATGTTGAGTCTCTTCGGAAACAAATCGTGGGATAAAAGGTGTCTGCAACTTTTTTTTTTTTTTAGTTATGCCTTGTTAATGGGTCTGTTTCCCATGAAGCCCCGTGTGGAAGGCCTCGCATTAACCTAGGTCAAGTTATTATCTTAGGATTGTCCCGGCAGCCGTTAAAACAGAGGATTGTTAGTGCAGTGTAATGCTTTCCACATCATGGATTTTAATCCCCTACAACACATCTGAAAACACTTTTCCCGTCCTCAAGCTGTAAATTAAACAACTCGGAACATTTGAGCACGCCGTCTGATGTCTCACCCGTTACGCTAGAAAAGTGGGATTAGTTTTTGCTGTTGCCCAAACACAAAGCTCTGACTGTTGGTAGCATGAGCCTGAAAGGTTGGCTTTGGGGTGGTCACCTCCAGGTCCCCGCTGCTCTGGGGTTTGCTCAGCTCCCATCCTGGGGAGACTGCAGGGGAAGCCCCCCTACCGCTGGTCCTGCTGGGGATGTGGGCGCAGGGGTGTCCTAGCTCCCATCCTGGGGGTCTGCAGGGGACCCCCTCTGCTGCTGGTCCTGCTGGGATGTGGGCACAGGGGTGTCCCTGCTCCCATCCTGGGGGTCTGCAGGGGACCCCCCCTGCTGCTGGTCCTGCTGAGATGTGGGCACAGGGGTGTCCCTGCAGCCAGGCTGGGGTGAGGGCTCAGAGCATCAGCCCTTCTGCAGGAGCTGCCCGTGGCGTCCCACCCTTGGGTGGTCACGTCTTCATTATTTCAGATAACCTCGTGTTCTGCTGTTCCCGTGGAAAATAGGGAGTCTCCTTGTGCCAGCAGAAATGCTCATTGAACATGCAACTTGCGTTTCTCTTTGAGGCTGGTGTTTCTCCCAGTCTCCTTTGTTTGCCTTTCAAACTGGAACCTAAATTGTGCCGGATCAGCTTCATCTCAGAGGAGTTCAGGTGGAAGCTGGGGCTGGGGTGAGCCCGGCTTTGCTCAGGCTGTGGCTGGAAGCTGCATGAGGCTGTCCTGCTTCCACCAGGGACTCTTGGTCGCTCTGAAGAGCTGTCAGTGAAGCCTTGAGTTTAATCATTTAAAGCACCAACTACAAATGGGCTTTGCACACAAACCTGTGCCTGGCTGTGTCTGTCATAAGGGTGAAGATGCCTAGAATGACTTTTTGGAAAGCAAAAACCAGTTATCCCATCAAAACCAGTTGGACAGACCAACTTAATGTGAATTGTCCCAGCTTAAAAAATTAAGTAAAGATGATTTATCAGAACAAGACATCTAGCTGTGAGGGGGTATGTTATTCGCTGTTGAAAAAGCTGCAGTGGTAGTACTGAGTTGTTGTTTGGAACAAAAATTACCTCAGATCCTCAGGGGATGGATCCAAAGCCAGCAGGAGTCTTTTCTTTTGATAGGTTTTGGATCAGCCCCTGAGTTTGTAAAGGCAGGTTTGTATGCTGACTGCTTTAGATGCAAAAATACCAAAGGTAAAAATTCATCTCAAGGATTCCTGGGTTAAAACCCTGCTCCTTATTGTTCAAGCTTGGACTCTGCAGATGATTAAACCAAAGCTGAACGTGGTACATGGCAGGGGCCAGAGTCCGATGAAGGATACTTGGTCGTGATCTGTGCCAATCGGAACGAGCCCTCCCGTGTTTAAGTGGTGTGTGAGCAGATTCTGAGGATAAATGGAATAGGTCGCCTTTGAAAATTTTATCTTCTATTTCATGCAGTTTCTATCTCCCAGCTCAGCCTCTTAGCACTCAGAAAAGCTCCTGTATGTGCCTGCTGGACCCTGCCCGGGCTCCTGCAGCTCCCGCATGCCCCGAGCATCCCAGCCATGCCCTCAGACACCTCTGGGGGAAAAACTGATCAGGCACACGGAAAATCTTTGGACAGTGGCAGCGTCCTGCTCTGCCTTGGCAGGGCTGAAGACGCAGTGGTGAATGGAAAATGTATTTTTAGGACTTTTTCTATCTGGCACCTGTGGTGAAAGGCTCAAGATGATTCATACAGGGTCACATTAGCTTTCTTGAAAGGCATTTATGTAAAAATGGTCTAGTACATAGACCTGCCAGGGAATGCACATATATATGTGTATATATATACATGCACACACACACATGTATATATACACACACATAATCAGAATCCATTTTAGGACTCAGGGCCAGAATAAAGGGGCAAAGCCAGGACTACGCAAAACAAGAACTGCCACAAGCCTGTCTTACTGATTTCTTGAACTGAAATGAGGTTGTGTCTTAAACTCCCCACCAAGCTGAAGCCTGCACTACAAGAATAGTTTTAAGTTTCATGGGTTGAATGGCGTGGAACTGGCATCTTCTCTATTTACCGTTGTACTATTTCTGAGGATAATTTTAGACAAACACATGTATATATTAATTCCCTGGCAGGCCTGTATACTATATATATGTTTGGTGGTTTGTGTTTGTTTGTTTCATTTTTTGGGTTTTTTTCAAGAAATCAGTTTTATGTTGTTTGTTTTTTAGGTTTTTTGGGGTGTGTTTGGTTTTTGTTTTGTTGGGGTTTTTTTTGTTTTGTTTTGTTTTTTTTTAAAAAAGCAATTTAAGTTGAGTTTCCTTAATTTCCCATTGCAGAGCCGAAGGGAAGACCTGGTCAGTCCCTGTTCTGGAGGACGGCAAAGCTCAGGCATACCGGATCAACATCGAGCCAGAACCGCAGGTACGGCAGCAGCAGCCCTGCGCCCGGGCTGGTCTCCCAGCTCGCTTTTTCTGGGGAGAGGAGATCCGTGTCTGGAGTCGGGAAAGCTCTCTGCTCTGCCTGCAGTGCTTCCAGAGGTTCCGGAGTTTGTGTGGTTTCAAAATGTTATGGGTTTTGGGCTTTTCCGTGTGGGTCTTGCTGTGCTTTCCTTGGGCTGCTGTCCTGGTTTGGGCTGGGATGGAGTTCACTTTCTGCACAGCAGCTGGTGTGAGGCTGTTGGGGTTTGTGCTGGGGAGAAGCTGGTCACACACTGATGGGCAGAGCTGCTGCCAGGACGGTCAAGGACTTTCCAGCTTCTCTGCTGTGCCCGTGTCTGCAGGGGCAGGAGGAGCTGGGAGGGAGCTTCTGTGAATCCCAGGATTCAACCCAACCTCAGGTTTAGGATTGAGACCAAATTGTCCCAAATTGACTTTTTAATGGCCTCTTCTTTTTTTTTTTTTTTTTTCCCCTCACTCCCTTCTCTTCCTTCTCTCTGTTTTGCGGAACTCTTTTGTCTCCAGCTCTTTTTCCAAGACCCTTCTGGCAGCACTCTGCCTGCACCCTGCCCTGCCTTCCCCCCTCTGGTCCGATTGCTGCGATGAGGGCAGGGCAGCACCGTTCCCAGCAGCAGCCTGCTACTAGGGTGTGGATGGATCTGAACAGGTCTTTCCTACCCACCTCTTGACTAATGGCTTGTTAGCAAGGTCAGAGATGACTCTAATTCTCCTTTGGCCCCTCAAAGGGATGAGGAACAATGTCTCCTTCTTCCCTTTCTGCCTCTGAGTTACCCAACGGGTGGGTTTTTGGGTGTACTGGCCCGTGGTGGATGCTGCAGAGGTGTCTGGGGAATGAGGAGGGGATGGGGCAGGGGGACCTTCTGCTGTCCTGCTCCTCCTCGGATGGGTGCTGAGCTGGTGCGCGTGCTGCAAGCCTTCCCAGGGACGTGGGGCGGTGGATGGCAGGAGGGAAGCTGCTGAGGCTTCTCCCAGCTGCAGGTTGGCCAACACCTCAGAGCAGCAG